ATAGGACAGAGGAGGAAGAAGGTGGGAACACCAGGGTCACACAGATACAGGTGGAGGTCTCAGGGGACGGCTCATTTGGTAAAGCACTTGCTATGCTGGCATGAGGACCTGAGTTCAGTTGACCCTCAGCGCCCACAGAATGGTGGCACACGCCTGCAGGATCCGTGGGGCTTGCCGGCCAACTTAGTCTTGCCGAATCAGTGGGCTCCATGTTGAGCAAGAGATTCTGCCTCAAAAAACGAGGTAGAAGAGTGATAGAGGAAGACACCTGCTAGTAAACTTGGGTTTCCCTAGGAGGTACAAAAGCCCACCCAATGAACGTCAGTCGCTGGGTCACAACAGTGCCTGTGGGCATGGAGCTGTGACCCTGGCCTGGCACAGGGCTCTGGGCGAGGCCTGCCTGAGCCTTTCTCCTCCCTACCCTCAGGCGCATGCTCTGCGTGGCCACTTTCCTTCTCTTCCCGATCAACACGCTGGTGGGAGCTATGGTGGCCCTCTGGCGGGTGCTTCTTTCTACCCTCTACAACACTGTTCACCTCGGCCAGATGGACCTCAGCCTGCTGCCACCCAGAGCGGCATCCCTGGATCCAGGTAAGGTCACTAGGCAGGGACCAGGGTGCGGGGGTGGGGGGTGGGGGTGCTGAGCTGTCCAAGGAGCTGCCCCACCTTAAGCTCTAAGCGGATCTGTGCATGTAAGCTTCTGCACTCACGTGCAGCAGGTGTGTGAGCACTGCCAAGGCCCTGTGGTGTAAGGCTGTGTGTGTGCACTGCCAGGGCTCCACAGGTGTGTGCAGTGTGTGTGCTGAGAAACGCCAGAGCTGCTTGGTGCAGGACAAGCTTGGGCGGCGGGGTGGGTGTGGTGTATTCTAACAAGGGTGCCAGTGCCTGTGTGCAGTGTGTGTGTAACATGCTTGGTCGGATGCCCCAGATGCCTCTTGCTGTTTCTGGGTACCTCTAGTCTGCCATGGGCTCCTCATGCCTCAGCATTCTGTTCCCAACCTATCCCAGGCTATCACACATACCGAAACTTCCTGAGGATTGAGGCCAGCCAGTCCCATCCAGCAGTCATAGCCTTCTGCACCCTGCTCCTTCATGCGCCAAGTCCTCAGCCCCGGCCCCCACTGGCCCCTCAGGACAGCGTCAGACCAGCAGAGGAAGAAGAAGGTACTTCTTCACCTGGGCTGGGGATGTAGACTCCCAGTTTCTCGGGAAGGAGTCACAGGAGACCTCTCCAAAATAGAGAGTAGCAGGAAGCCTCCCATCTTCTGTCCTTCAGCTTTCTGCTGTCACCCTCCTGACTGGGTCTCAGGGTAATTTTTTCTTTAATATGGACTTGCACACACATGTACCTTATGTGTGCACAGAAAATAGAATGAGTGTCCTGGTACTCCCCCTCCTGGAGAACACCACCTCCTTCTCTGCCCAGGAGGTCTATGGTAGGGGACATTAGGCCTGCCCTCACTCCCTCAACCCCCACCTCCTGCTGCTAGCCTGACACTTGTAGTTCCTCACAGACCTCATCCCCTCCCTCCTCTTCCAGCAGCACGGTGACATGCTTCTGCAGCCCAGCCTTCTGCCATTCCCTAGCTGGCAGCTAGAACTCTGGCTGTGCCTGGAGGTTTCAAACCCCTCTCAGGTATGGGGCCTGTGGAGGCTTGACTGGGACTCAGCGAAGGTTTCTCTCTCTCTCTCTCTCTCTCTCTCTCTCTCTCTCTCTCTCTCTCTCTCTCTCTCTCTCTCTGTCTCAGGAATGCAATTGTTACAGACCAAGGACCTGATGGCCAAGGGAACAGGACCCAAAGGCAGCCAGAGCAGGGCCCGCTGGGGCCTGGCCTATACGCTGCTACACAACCCAAGCCTGCAGGCCTTGCGGAAGGCAGCCCTGAGTGGTGCCAAGACCAATGGCACCCAGCCCTGAGGGTGAGGAAAACCACACCACGCTGCTCTTACGTGCTGAGGCACATTCCCGTCTACCACCCTCCCTCCTGCCCATGTCAGCACTTGCCCTCCCCCAGAGGCAGCTCTGCCAGCCAGCAGATCCCTGTGGGATCAGGGGACTGGAGTCGCGGTGTCTACACCACCAGCCTCAAGAGGACTTTGGTCTGTGCTTGTCCACCAGGCTCCCAGCTAGGGCTCTAGAGAAAACAGCTGGTGGGCCCTGGTCTTGGAACTGGCAGAGCAGGGGTGGCCACATTTAGGCCTCTCCTCCCCACACTGGCTCTGCCCTCAGCCTGCCAGGCCTCAGTGAGGCCCCTCTTGCTCCCTGCTGGTGATGAAAGGTCTGGGTATCTCCCATCCCAGCTGGCCCCACCTCAGTCCCAGCCCTCCCACCATGAAGGTGGAGCCTGTGTGGGCTTCCTCTCTGGCCCAGCTTTCTCCTTCCTCTCTCCCTACCACCCTTTCCTACGCAGCCAAGTCAGACTCCAAGAGGCCCCACTGAGCTGCCCGTTCCAAGAGCTACATATTTTTGTAGTTTTAATGCCGTTAGTTGTCATGAAAGAAGTTAGTGTGCTCCTGGTAATAAATGTGCCCCTGAGGAACATTCCTCCTCACAGGGGAGGACTCTCAGGGGAACCACTACACTGTCAGTAAATCTAATCTGAGCTTGATCTGGGGGAGTAGGGGGGCACTTGGGGTGCTGGGTGGACACTGGGTGAGGATAGAGAGAAGCCCCAGTTTTGTGTGATGATGGCTGGGGACCCTACAAGGCCATTCCTGGGCAGTGTAGATGCTGGACTTCCTGGTTTTAAAGAATGGGCAGGAACACTTTCTTCCCTTTCTTTAAATGGGGAGAAGACGCTGCAGGATGGTAGAGGCTCTAAGGGATAAAGAAAGACACAGAGGGGAGAGAGGTGCAAAGGAAGATCAGGCAGTGGACCAAGGATGCAGAGGGACGGTGGAGATGCGGACACTGGGGTCTTGGAGGAGATGGAGGATGTATGAATCAGAGAGATGCTCTAGATGTGGTTCACCATGCTTCTCCACCCTGTTTGGGTCAGGGAACCTCAAAATCCTGCCCATTTATTCCCAACTATAGATCAAACACATACACAGGTCACACCAGAGGTACCTCCTGGCCCTCCAAACCCATGATCTGGGCTGCCCAGGGGGCCAAAGAAAGCATGCTCTAAGTCCCCCTCAGCCTACTGCAAAATATCTTTATGTGGGGTGTCAATAACCCACACAGTCACAGGAGGAAAACTCCAATTCTGCCTCCGCCCTTAAGAAGGAGACAGTCACAAGAGAATATAATCTGGCTGGGTCACAAGACAAGGGCTCAAAGGAAGGGGCCTGCTTCACGCTGAAGATGGGGGAAGATCCAAGGAAACAACTTGGAGGAGGTGATGCAGAAAACTGATTCAGCCGGATGAAGATCAGGAAAAGGGTGTACTGGGGAGGCGTGGGCATAGGCTACGTAAAGATGAACATGACCCAGCTTCTTCACAGGCATCGTAAGAAGACGAAGATGGGGAGGTCCACACGGGAGCAGCCAGTCACAGGGTCCATGGCTGGGAATTCATGCTACACACTGAGGACAGTGGAAGCCACAAAAGACCAAAGCAGAGGAGTAGCTAGTTCACTTGAACACAATAGTCCCCATGTTGCTCTGCCTCAGGTGGTAAGTGAAAGGCGCTCGCTGGACCTTCAGGATGCCCAGCCTCCTTAGTGGCGAGTGGAGCAGGGATGCTGCCCAGCCTCCTTAGTGGCGAGTGGAGCAGGAATGCTGCCCAGCCTCCTTAGTGGCGAGTGGAGCAGGGATGCTGGACTCAACTCAAGTCTAGATCAGTCAGATGGACCTTTAAGACACTACCTTTTCTTGGTGTTTTTTCAGGAGATAGGATCTCATGTAGCCTGGGCTGGCCTCAAATTTGCTGTGTAGTGTAAGAATCTGGTCTTCCTGACTTTGTTTCCTGAGTGCCCACCTCCTGAGTGTCCAGATGACAGGCATGCACCACTATTCCAGGGCCTCATGCATGCCAGGCAAGCACTCGGCCAACTCAGCTACATTCCCAGCCCTCTGCCATTTGATTTCTAACACACCTGAAACCCAGAGATGGGCAGTAACTTACCCACCCAAAAGAACACAGCATCTAGGATATGGCTCCATCCTGGTGCTTTCCCTCAGATATGAAGACATTCTTGATCCTGGCTGGCTGATGGCTAACACGGACTCAACATGAGCCACAAAGTCAGAGAAGGATGAGGGAGAAAGGAGGCCTCACATGTGGACCCCAGCCGTGGGGGAGGGGCTGGCCAGCCGCCAAGCTCACAGCTGCTCCTCCAGACTCCTCAACCTCCTGCCTTCGTTCTGCTGAGTCCAGCAGTCCTGGGGCTGGAAAGAGGGGCAGGCCTTCCCCTGAAGGTCACTGTCCCTGTGTGCACACATCCAACCTTTAAAGACGGGGAGTAGGGAGACATCTCGCAGGCCTGGAGTTCTGCAGTGTCTCTACTGGCAGGCCTGTATACAACCTCACACTGTGGCTGGCCCCCAACTCCCAGTCCTCCCTTAGGTCAGAGGTTTCCACTCTGCTGGAGCATCCCTTCTGGGGCCATGTCCTCTTTCTAGAGGGAAAGCTGGAGTGTGCCGCTATTCCCTGTCCTCTTCCTCCAGGCTGTCTTCGGTTTCGTCCTCATCCTCTGTCCCCTCTTCCCCATCCTTCAGCCTCGTTCCTTGCTCTTGCCCCAAATGTCCCCAACTCTATTCCTCTCTCTTCCGAAGACTCTTCTTGGGTCTTCAGTGCAGGCTTTTCACCTCACCCCTTTCCAAAATGCAGAAAGCGATGCTCACGTTCCATCTCATGAGCTAGTTCGGAGACGGAAAATTCTACAGTTTGGCTCATACCAGGACCCAGTGATGGGTCTGGGCTCCCCTCCCATGCTACTGGAAACGCCCTGCACTTGTGTCCAACGGGTCCCTGTCGGTACAGCTCTCACATGTGGCCATCCCATCCTCTCATAAGGACTCTTTGATCCCAACAGAATTCCCGGTAGACAAAGGGGAGCGTCAGAAATGCTGTTTATTTTTTTTTCTGCTACCCCAAACTGGCTAGCCTCTTTGGAGGGGCAGGCTACTGGTACATACTTGGAAACAAAGGAGGGACAAGTGTCTCGAGAGGCAGGCACAGGCTGTGGGATCTGGGATAAGAGAACAGAGAGGCCCAGCCAGGGACAATTCCCACATTTCATCAGAGGGCATTAGGAAGACAGGGAGAGCGCTTAGCCTTCCCAGTCCTGGCCTGTAGTCCTTCCTTTCCAGATCCTGTACTGTCCACTCCAGGTTCCTTTCCGGACCAGCCCCGGTGCCTACCTGGGTGGCCTCCCGAAGCTCCTTACCTCAGTGCTGAGAACTCTCAAAGTGGGCCAGGGTAAGGGCATTATTGTTGCCCTGTTAGCCTGCTGCCCCTGATAGGAGCGTGGGCAACGCTGTTAGCAGCCATTAGTACCAGAGATGACGAGTTCTGAGATACAGTTCTATCCTAGTTGCTAGCTCTGAGCAAATCGACAAGTCGGAATAATGAGTGGCCCGGAAGAGCTCAGAAAGGGAGGTAGGAAAACGTGAAGTCCCCAGGCCAACCTCAGGCCTCACCAACTCCAGACCTCACGGTACTTAGAGGGAACATTGGCAGGGTCAGGAGGAGTTAGGAAGGCCCTGGGGCTGCTCCAGCCAGCCGGGGCAGGGTGTGGTTAGAAGCAGGCGAGGAAGAGAACAAGCAAGCTTTGGCCTAGCAGAAGCAGGCCCGAGAGCTGCCGCACAGGCTTCCCTTCTGCTGCTAGTGCAGCCTCTGGGGTCCCAGCACGGCTGAGGTAAATGATGACCACGTTGTCCTCGGGTCCCGACGGCTGTACCTCGTTGTCAACCGTGTAGCAGCCCTTGCCCTCCGCTGCTTTGCCATGGAACCTGCGCCCCAGTGCATCCTCTCCCCCCTCACCTGGAGTGGCCAACGCCACGTTCACAGAGCTCTCGGCACTGCCCAGCTCATTGGTGGCCAGACAGGTATAGGTGCCCTCCTCCGGCTTGCCAAAGTCAGGGATAAGCAGACTGCCGTTGGCAAAGGCCTGGAAGCGTGGCCGCCCATTGGTCATAAGGGTACCAGGTAGGGCACGTCCGTTAGTGCCTACATTAGGACTGACAATCTCCACTGTGCCACCGTGGGTGTGGATATGCCAGTGAAGCTGGGGGGCCGGCTGCCCATCCACATCACAGTGGAGTGCCAGCACAAAGCCAGGCCGCAGCTCTGCTCCATCCTGGCTGGGCTGGTAGCTTAGCTGCACCGAGGGTGCTGAGCAGGGGAGCGGTGGCAGGCGGCTCAGTGGGGTGCCCTTCAGCACATGTGGTGAAGTACAGGCAATGTTGTCCTGCTCTGGAATGGACATCGCGGTGGCCAGGGCCCAGGTCTTGAACCACACAATGCCACAGGTGCAGTCGAAAGGGTTGTCGTTGATCTGCAAGTGGGACAGCGCGGTGAGTGGGGCGAAGGTGCCCTCGGCCAACGTGTGCAGGCGGTTGTGATTGAGCTGCAGAGAACGGAGGGCGTGGAGGCTGCGGAAGGCATCCCGAGGGATGAAGGCCAGCTCATTGCTGTCCATCTTGAGCAGCTGCAGAGCACTGAGGTTGTGTAGGTCGCTCCAGGCAAACTCAGAGATGAGGTTGTGGCTGAGGTCCAGACTCTTGAGCTGGCCCAGGGGGGCCAGGGCACCAGCGGCCACCGAGCGGATCTCGTTGTGTGCAAGCCACAGCGACTGCAGTAGGGGGACCTCCCTGAAAGCCCCCTTGGGCAGGCCTGGCAGCCTGTTGGCTGACAGGCTCAGTGTGGTCACATTGGCTGGGAAGCCTGGTGGTACAGCCTGTAGGTCACGATAGGCACAGTCTGCAATCTGGAAACCATACTTCTCCCCACAGTCACAGGACTCCGGACAAGCTTGCACCAGGTTCAGGAGAACAGCCCAGCAAAGCAGGCACAGTGCCCGCATGGTACCTCCTACAAGGAAGGACATGCCACCCAGGTGAGCTTAAGGATTCACAGAAAGGACTTATCCCTTCTCAGACCCCAACCATTAGAAGGCCCTGCATAATCCAGCCAGACACTACCACCTAACCCACCACCCTCACCCCCTAGGAGAAGAAACTGAGGCCCATAAGAGGGCTCGGACTTGCCAAGGTCGTGTAGGCAGGCAAGGTGAAGACAGGATGGAAGGCGACCCCAGCTTTTCCTCTGCACAGAGCTCTTTCTGCCTCGGCCTGTTGCTAGCTGACTTTATGACTTGAAATCTGTTTTCCAGCCACCCCCCTCCCCCAGCACTTCACAGAACCTCCCTTCTGCCCTCCCACATCCTGGCTACAGTCCCTCCCACTGGAGCCCCCCATAGGTATGTTTTGCTGCCCTAGTCCAGACAAGGCCCCTTGTGCAACGCACACACACCCTCCACCCCTCCCACTCCGGGGCCTGTTCCGTTAAAACTACCCCAGGCAGCTGCCTAAATAAACCAACCAGGACCTCTCAACTAAGGCAGGGGGCCAGAGGCTCATCCCAAATGCAGCTGGGAGTTCTGGAGTTGAGATTGTCCGAGCAGACGCTCTCCGGATGGCTCTGAGCAAGGGCCTGTTCCAAGTCCGTCAAACTCACAGGGATGGAAGAACAAACCAGTCAGAGCCTAGCAGACCTCCACCCCCAACTCCCTCACCCCCAGCTGTGGGGACTCCTTCTCTCCTTCTTCCCTGACTCACCTCCAAACTGCTCTTCCGAAGTCAAGCTGAGCCTCTCTTAAGATGGGTAGAACCAAAGCACCGAAGGACCAGGACTGCCAGGCAGGACCAGGATGCTGGAGGAGGGGATTGGCTGCTTTGTACACCCCGCTGACCAGGGTGCCCAGGACAGTCCTGAGCAGGGGCTGCAGGGAAGGATCTGTGCAGCCTAGACGCCTTTCAACAAAACAAAAATGAGCTTCGGCCACAGGGACCCTGCTTCATAAATGACACCAGAAACTGGAGGGGAAAGGGGCCAAATTTGGGGTTGTTCATGTGCTCTCTCTCTCTCTCTCTAGCTCCAACTTCCTTAAAGTCACAGCACTATCTGGGCAGGACCCAAGAAAAGATGAGGCCCGAAAGGATCCTTTTTTTTTCCTAATGGGGGAAGGGTGAGAAACTGGATCTCATGGAAAGTGGGAAATTTGTAACCTCGCTTCCAACAAGAAGAAAGCGGTGGCCCCTTCCTCCACTCCTGGCTCTGAGTTGCTGTTTGTGTGCACAGCTGAGTGTGTGCTGTGGCCTTGGTGGGGGAGAGCGGGTGTTGCTGTGTGTGGATGAGGCCGTGTGTTAGGGACATGCAGTAGGAGACACTGTGCTCAGGGGAGTTTGAGGGTGCTTGCGTGTGTGTCTGTGGGTTGGTGTGTTTGTGTGTGGATATGAATTTAGTCTCTTTGTGAGTGTGTATTCCTGTGTGTCTCTCTTGGCGTGTGTGTGTGTGTGTGTGTGTGTGTGTGTGTGTGTGTGTGTGTGTGTGCTGGGGTGTCTATAAAAAACTGTGAGGGCCAGAGTGTAGGGAACAGCCACCAGGCTCCAGCCCCTGGGTGAGAAACCAAAATGTTAGGCTTTTTTTTTTTTTTTTTTTTTTTAAGTAAATATATCCTGCAGGCTGAAGTTGCTGGGCAGGGAGCTCCCAGGGCCCCAGCTGAGCCCCACACTGAGCTGGGCGTGTGTGCAGGCGGGATGAAGGGATGACAGCATGCCTGACAGAGAGCAGAAATCAGCCTGGGCAGAGGTGTCACTGGCTGGGGATTCTGGACACCCTGGCGTGCAGACAAAGATGTTCCATGGTCCAGGATCCGGCACTCAGAGCAATGTTGAAGGGCCTCGCTTCAGGAACAGTCCCTGTGGCTCTGTTCCCACAGTGTTCAAGGCCTGTCATAGACGCCAGACAGAGTGGCCAGCTCTGCCACCTCTGGGATCTACCATCCCACACTGCCTCTGGAGAGGGTATGAGACCTTTCTCTCCAGACAGGAAGGGCCGTGGATAGGAATGGAGCGAGGGAGAGGCCAAGGAGCTGGGGTGGAAGCGGAAGACAAGGGAGCCTGAAAACAACTTCCCGGCATGGACTCCTCTGCCCTCCACGGCATACATCTATCCATCTCCCCCCGTAGCCCTCACTCATGCTTCCTCTTCCTGTCTGGTAACCTGATAGAGTCTGCTGTGACTCAGCTCACCCTCTCAGCGAGGCCAAGGGGTATTGTCGCTGACTGAAAGTATACAAGGAGCCCCACCCCAGCTCCTCACACCCTCTCTCTGTCATGGAGCTTTCGAAGACCCCAGAGTGCTGCCTGTGAACACTGAGTTTGAAGCTAGGATGTTATTGTAGACTCCTTTAGATGTGCCCTTCTCGGCCCTGTGCCCAGGAAGCCTTCTCTTGCACCTTGTTTATTGTGTAGAAGGGGTTGGGGCAAGTCCTGAAGTGGGTGGAATAAGCAGAGGGTGGAGGCCTACATACCCAGATTCAACAACGCAGGGAAATCATGTGACCTCCGAGTCTGTCAGGGGCAACTTCCCGGAGACTAGGGCTTCACTAGGTTTCTCAGAACACAGCTGCACACACTCTCACTGAACAAAGCCCCTGTCATCAGCCCTACCTGCAGGGCCCCCCAAGGAGCTCACAGTCCCCACCCTATCCCATTTCTCTAAAGCCCACCCAAGGACAGATGGACCATCCTCCCTCCCCGTAACCCTTCTGCTGTAGCTGCCTCCTTCTGGCACAGGCAATAGAAGTCAAACGGCGCACGTCTTTAATGCCAGTACTCGGGAGGCAGAGGCAGGTGGATCTCTGGGAGTTCGAGGCCAGCCTGGGCTACATAGTCCCAGGATAGCCGGGCTGTGTAGAGAGAGAGACTCTGTTTCAAAAAAAGAAGGAGAAGGAGAAGGAGAAGGAGAAGGAGAAGGAGAAGGAGAAGAAGAAAGAAAGAAAGAAAGAAAGAAAGAAAGAAAGAAAGAAAGAAAGAAAGAAAGAGAAATCACCTCACCATGCAGCTTTCTGAGGCCCCCAAATCTGGGGTTGTTCTCTTCACTAATTGTCCTCACGGACCCCCCCCCCCCCCCGCTCTGATCTACAGTTATTTGTTCTTCCATAGGCAGATGCCTTATCTTGCGGGTTGCTATTGAACCAGGTACCTAGAGGCCCTTGGGTGAATGCAAGAATTGGCAGGTCATCGGATATCACAAAGGAAAGCGTTTTAAGGTTCATCTGTTCTCTTCCTTGTGGCACAAATGGAGATTCTAGGCCAGAAGGAAGGAGGGACGTGCCCAAGGAAAGTTCCTTACAATAAAGGCATTTCAGGAAAGGTTGTATAGAATGCAAGGGAGCCACATTTTTCAGGGATGGGGGGCTGTCACTAGCTGTCCCAGGAACGGCAATCCTGACCTCCTCATTCTCCACCAGCAAAGCTCTTGATGGTAACCAAACACTGGTCCCCAGAATTCCGTTTCAGAACAGCTCTGAAGGCTGAGGGCAGGAGAAGCGAGTGGAGAGGGGCCCACTCAAGCAGAAGAGACCGTGTGTGTGTGTGTGTGTGTGTGTGTGTGTGTGTGTGTGTGTGTGTGTATGTGTGTGTGTGTGTGTGTAGTCACTGATAGCTCTGCATTAACCCAGGTCCAACCAAGGCCATCAGGGTAGAGCCATGCCTCCTCTGCCACCCAAGGGCCACTGCTCAGAGTAGACCCCATAGGACCTTCCGTGAGTTTTCACAATGGGGTATGTAGACCACGCCCAGCAGGGCACTAGGAGCAGTTTATAGTTGTTCCAGGGCACAACCTCTTCAAGTAACTGTTTCCTGTCCCACTGATGATCCCAGATGAAGCACTTCCTGCAAAGGCCGCTCCAGAGGATACAATCCAGGAGGCCTCATTCTCCTCCAAGCCTGTTGCTAGCTCCCTGCCCATCACTGGGGCCGTCAGGTCAGAGTGGGCCCTAAGAGGATATGTGAGACCTTGACTGTCATCCAGAGGCCCACGATTGGAGAGCCTTTCTCCAATCCTCGGGCCCCCTATGGCATCTCGGTCTTCAGCAGCTCTCAAAGGAGGGGCACAGAGGAAGGGAGAGGGAAGAACGAGCCCCGGCCTCCTGCCAGCCCCGGTCCCAGCCCCAGGGTTCTCTGATAGCTTGCAGAGTGGCCTGCCCTGGTTTGCCTGCTGGCCTTTCTCGGATGCAAGATTGTCATGGCTACATCTACACCACTTCGGTAGACAGGGACAGCCGGTTGGCTCTCGCTCTGTCCCACAGCGGTTCCTTTCTCATTCTGCAGACTCAGCCTTCTCTCCCGGCTCCCACTCCCCCCTTCCCTCCTGTCCCGCCACCTCCAACTAAGGCGGCCAGTCCCACACCAGCTGTGGCTGCTCAGCCGGAAGCCCCCACCTCAGAGAGGCCTATAGGGGCCTCTGAACCATGCCAGGCCACATCAGCTTTTCCTGGAAGTCAGAAAAAAAGATCTCAGAGAGAAAATGGAGGTGTCGCGGGGGAGGCAGGGGTGGGAGTAGGGGCAGAGCCAACAGGGGGAGAAAACTGGGGAGAAACAGAAACAGGGGGATGGAAATGTCTCAGAGAGAGGTTAACAGAAAGTCACGGAGTGAGACACGGGGTGTTTGTCTGGGGAGGGGAGTGACCCCGAGAGAAAGGACTCTGGGAGGACGCAGCTCTGGGAGGAGATGGGAAAGGGCTGGAGTCTGCAACAGAAAGTTGTGCTGACACAGTGTCCCAGTGCCCTGTGGAAGGACAGTGCTGGTCTCTGACCCACACCAAACGCCCTCCAAACAGCTTGCAGGAACCCTTGGGAGGAAGCGAGCTCACTCCCACTGGAATTTGTTTCACCCATGAGTCTCCAGGGAGAAAAGGATGGGGTATGGAGAGCCCTGGGTTGTCCGTGACACACAGGGCTGTGTTTAAACGGGGCTCTTTCTGTTGGCATGCGTGTGAAAGGGGAGCCCGTGCTTGCTCCTATGTGCACGTGTGTGTGTATGTGCACCAGAGCCAGCAGGAGCCCGCGGCGTGCACACTCGAGACGACAGAGGGGAAAGTAGAGTCCACCTAGTTTTCTCTACTGCATCTGCCTCTACCCGGAGACTCCCGCTGACTCAAGCCTGACTGTACACGGGACAGACTTACCCTTTCCTCCTTACCCTCCACACACTCTCCCCACCACTCAAGTGTGAGTTTCTTGTTTTGGGGTCTCTGACCTTGGAAATCACGGGCCTGGGGTTGCCCTTAAACTTGACAACCTGAATCTGAGCTTCAGGACCTACATGATGGAAGGAGAGAACTGACTCCTGCAAGTTATCTTCTGACCTTTACACAGGCCTGGGGAGGGGTATCATAACCAGCCAGGATCTATGTGGGTGAAGAGCAACAGTTTAGCTTTGTGGGCAAAGCCAAGCCTGGAATGGGAGCGCAGGAACACACCATCTGCTGGGGTGGGAGAAACAATGGACTTGGTAGATAGGGGCTTGGGGACAGTGCCAAGAGAAGGAGGAGAGGAGAGAGGGGAGTGGGGGTAGGAATAAGAGTCGGGAGAGGTGGGAACATCGAGACCTGCGATCTGGAAGGGCTGGGGCCAGCTGTGAAAAAGGCCAGCCTGTCCCTGACAGCAGAGGAGGAAGGTGACAGAGCTGACACATGCCCGTCACTGATGGGTCAGGCTGCAGTCTGTTTCCATGCAACACTGCTCTCCCCATCAGCAACCAGACGCTCCTGAAATCAGAGCTTGGTTCCTCTCAACCCAGGGAGCTGTGAGGAGGTCCAGGGTGACATATGTTTTTTTTTTTCTGCAGAGGAGAGGGGAGTAGGGTACCAGGCTGGAGACAGAAAGAGGAGGGAGACGTGGTTGAGCTGCTGGGCGAAGCGGGGGAGGACAGGGCGGCAAAGCTGTGGTGACTTCAGCCCAAGGGAAGTGGACATGAAGAAGGAAAGATGGTATCTAATCTGCCTGGGGAGGTGGCACTGGCTGCAGAAACTTCTGCAGGTGGCAGCCAAGGCAGGACAGCATGACGCACAGCCACTGAGTATGTAGAAGCTCAGAGAAGGGAGAAGCAGGTGGACATTGTTGTTGCAGAATATTAGTTGAAGATGTGTTACATTTGTTTATGCTGTGGAACTTTTGTTTAATGATGCAAAGATGTGTTGCATTCTTTAATGTTTAACTCTGTGAAGCTGTGTTATTTGGCTTGTCTAAAACACCAGACTGGTCTAATAAAGAGCTGAATGGCCAATAGCTAGGCAGGAGAAAGGGTGGCAGGGCTGGCAGGCAGAGAGTATAAATAGGAGGAGTAATCTGGGAAGAGAGGTCCAGGAATGAACAAAGGAAGGGGAGGAGGAGGCAGCGGGGTGAGACTCATGTGCTCTGAATAAATATATGTTACACACCCTGCAAGCTGCCTAGGAGTTTTTATTCTTCCTTCTGGACA